AAAGTCCGCCATTGTAGGGAAGTAAAAAAACCCACGTGCTTTGAAAAATTTAATGAACAAGCTACCTGTGGTCTACTATAACTCTAAAACAGCTTGGTTTACTGGAGATATTTTTGTAGACTGGTTCAAAAATAATTTTTGCAAAGAAGTAAGAGATTTTCAGATAAAGAAGTGTGGAGTGAGACGGAATGATATCAAGGCTGACAAGGCTCTTGGTTGACAATGCCCCAGCTCATGTAGGGCTCGACACATTAGCGTCACATGATGGACGCATCAAATGTATGGCCTTGCCTCCAAATACCACCTCTCTGATCCAGCCAATGGATATGGGTGATATATATGCAATGAAAAGGCTCTACAAACTAGCAATGAATAAAAAAATCATGGTGGTGCTTGAGTCAAATAAAGACAAAAGACAAGGAACTGATTCGAGAGGTCAAGCAACACTGGAACGTTACAAAAAATACTCAATTAAGGAAGCCATTTACAACTGGGCTAAAGTTTGGGATGAAATTAAAGAGTCAACATTAAGAAATTGTTGGAAAAAACTCCTGTTGCTTGATCATGCTGATGAAGTGACTGAGGAAGAAATGGATTTTGAAGGATTTTCAAATGATATTTATCAATAACTGCGTGCCGCTGGTGAGACGGAGTTGACACTGAACGATGTGGAGGAGTGGTTAGATATTGATGTAGTCGATCCACCCATTGGTCATTTAACAGATGATGAGATTATACAAAATGTTACTGGCACTGTTGACGACGACGGAGAGAAGACGAGGATGAGAATGATAGCAGTTTACAATCTGCTACGTGTGCTGACGCATTGTTCCATGTTGAAAAACTCCTTGATATTGTTTCACAAACTGACAATCCAGAGCTACCAGGCTTTTATCAACACCTAAGGATAATGAAAGATATTTGTCTCAAGGACATGACAAAAAGAAGGAAACAAACGAAAATGAGTCAATATTTTTCACGAACTAGCAGAAAATCAACCAGCACAGCCGTACCCAGCACCAGCACAGCCGTACCCAGCACCAGCACAGCCGTACCCAGCACCAGCACAGCCGTACCCAGCACCAGCACAGCTGTACCCAGCACCAGCATAGCCATACCCAGCACCAGCACAGCTGTACCCAGCACCAGCACAGCTGTACCCAGCACCAGCACAGCCGTACCCAGCACCAGCATAGCCGTACCCAGCACCAGCATAGCCATACCCAGCACCAGCATAGCCATACCCAGCACCAGCATAGCCATACCCAGCACCAGCATAGCCATACCCAGCACCAGCATAGCCATACCCAGCACCAGCATAGCCATACCCAGCACCAGCATAGCCGTACCCAGCACCAGCACAGCTGTACCCAGCACCAGCACAGCCGTACCCAGCACCAGCATAGCCATACCCAGCACCAGCATAGCCATACCCAGCACCAGCATAGCCATACCCAGCACCAGCACAGCTGTACCCAGCACCAGCACAGCTGTACCCAGCACCAGCACAGCCGTACCCAGCACCAGCACAGCCGTACCCAGCACCAGCACAGCCGTACCCAGCACCAGCACAGCCGTACCCAGCACCAGCACAGCCGTACCCAGCACCAGCACAGCCGTACCCAGCACCAGCACAGCTGTACCCAGCACCAGCACAGCTGTACCCAGCACCAGCACAGCTGTACCCAGCACCAGCACAGCCGTACCCAGCACCAGCATAGCCATATCCAGCACCAGCACAGCTGTACCCAGCACCAGCACAGCTGTACCCAGCACCAGCACAGCCGTACCCAGCACCAGCACAGCCGTACCCAGCACCAGCACAGCCGTTCCCAGCACCAGCACAGCTGTAACCAGCATCAGCACAGAAGCAGCTGAAGCCAACACAGCAGCAGCGAGCACCAGCAAAGCTGATGCAAACATCTAAAAACATCGTGTGTTAAGTGAACAGTTAGAGCAAGTGTTAACTGTGTACATAGTGTTAAAATTAAAGTTGCAATAATTCTAGTGTACAATAGTTTTCATGAACTGTATTGTAGTACTCAATATACAGCATAACTACTTTTAATCACACAGTGCTAACGGCATAATGCACTGCAGTACGTATTTACTGTAGAGCATTCACAACTTCACGAAACTTCAAGATAGACATGACTCCAACAATAAGGTAAATAAATGAATTACAGTATTTTTTAGCAGAGTAGTAAAATATAGGTACAGTATGTAATATGATAATGCATTTTTATTGTGTACAAGAAAAAAAAGACACTGACGCAAATGCCTCCTGAAGGTCACCTCTTGCAACGAATCCAACGCTCCAACGAACTGGGGTTGGTCCCATATAGTACGTTGAATCGAGATTGTACTGTATCTACATGTTGAATGCACCGTAACTGTACACCTAAGCTTGTAGAGTGCCCAAAGAGCATAGTGGCCACCCTCTAAACAGCTAGACAAATCGTGCAGACAACGTCACCTCCATCACCCATGTGGCTCCTCCCAGCATAATCCTTTTGCTGTTATTACACTAATACACACATTATATATAAGTATCTACATTTGTGTTCACCATTGAGAACCACTGACCTGGTATGGTGAATGCAGACAATAACAGGTGGCCACACAGTCAGTAAACGATGCTATCTCCCTCCGTCTCTCAGCATCACTCGTCCCACAGCACTAATTATTACAACAATCCTGCTATTATCACAACCCTGGTTATTTATATCACAGTCAGGGGTCATCTGTAATATTGTCATCGCTAAATAATAACAATTATATATTTATTTTGACATTTTTCGGCGATGCTGTGGTCACAAGCTGAACAGCAATGCTGTTCGCTCATGCTGCATGCGCCAGTCTTGGTAGCTCCAACAGTACTGTGCCACTCACACCTGAGAATATTGACCACGATTTTTTTTTTTAATGGCGTCTGTTTACAAGAGCCCTGAGGAAGCTAATGGGAACCCCGTGTAGCCGCGGGCCATTTGAATCGGGCCTGGCAACCAATGGCGTATACGTATGCCATGCGCACAGTGGGACATGATACTCATGGCGTATATATACGCCATGCGCAGTTTAAGGGTTAAGGAAGGGGGGGGTTCACCCATGTGCAACTAATATATTCTCTACCATCTTTGCTATTACACATTATTATACAGAAGAAAGAGATATGATATGATCACAACTTACAAAGTACTAACAGGAATTGACCAAATTGACAGGAATTTCTGAAACAAGAAGCATTATGAACAAAAGGGCATGTTCAAGCTAAAGAAACAAAGGTGCCAAACATTATTAGAAAGTTGAACGCCATAATGAATTAAAATTACCTTTATTCAACGTTGATAACTTCAACTTCAATTATCTCTGAAACCAGAGTTTCAACTTTGAGTGGCTTCTAAAAATCCAGTTTTTAACCGATTCTCACTATTTTGACATATTGTGTGCTCTTCTGTCTGTTCTACAATCCCATCAGAATGGATTTTTCATAAACTTTATACATTTGGAGTTAAAAAAATTTTTTACTAAATTTGCCGCATATCTCAAATGTCCTATTGACGATTTTTTTACAGTAAACTATACTAAAAACCTATATTCTAATTTAATGAAAATGACTAGATCAGTTTCTTTACTGCCAGAAAATAAGTCAGTGGACTTCTGGAGGGGCCCTTTGGTTGATTTTGCCAGGGGTGCATCATTTATTGTCTGGTGGCAGCACTCGTCACTACCCACGGGCCACCGCCTCAGCCACGGTGAACTCTTTGGGTTGATCTAGTCTCCTTGGTCCCCTGTTCTAAGGCTCGTGTTTCTCAGGTTGCCCACAGTGTCATTAAGGATAGCCAGCCTGCAGTCTATCCCTAGGCCCATGATGTTCGCAAATACGTTGCACTCGAGGCAATTTTCTCTTATGTCAAAGGCGGATATTCAGGCCTGTCTCCCTCCCACCCTTCATGTTCATTGGTTCATGGCACCGTTTATCTGCTCCTGAACTAATGTGTGGCTAGACGCTAATCTGAGCGCCAGGTTACCTGGTGACGGCATTCAGTACTTCAGGGTTTTAGCAAATCTTATTTTGTTTATTTTCAAGTTATTTTACTTTTTAGTGGTTTTGAGTGTTGGGAACCTAGCTGTTGTCTGTCAAACTCCACTAACATTCTGGATGCTTTCCTGGTGGAATTGTGAAATATCATTTGCTCCTTGCACTTCATGTAAAGGAGCCTGATTTTGGCTCTGGTTTCTGATAGGCCAAAGGAACTCTTGCAACTGATGTGACTGGTAGTTTGGGGCAATCTCAATGAGATAGCTACAAGAAGCCAACGGGACTCCACCAGAAGGAGGCACTTCATTACATTCATGTCTGAGTTTTATAAGAGGAAGGGGACATGTTACTAATTTCCATTTGCAGTCAGAGTGGGAAAATGGGAAAGTTTAACTGGTCTTCTTTCTGCGATTTCCTACCTCTTTTTTGAGTACCTCTGCTTATTCCTTGTCCAGGATCCATGTTCAACATATTGAATGGGTTAGAATCACACGAAAACGGAAATAAATGCCTAAACCAGGTCAAGTTTGCCGCGAGAGGGGAGCGTGGTGTGGGCACTTGTCGTGACAACAAAACAATGGGCTGACCACGTGACCGCGTAGGTTCAGATGCCATGTGGGCATTGTGGGAGAACCGGAATTTCATGGCAAACATTTTAAGAGTACCCCCAACAAAATCGGATCGAAAATGGAATTTATACAAATATTTTTTCTTGTGACTCCATAGATAGTCACATCAGCGGAACCGTAATAAAAATAGTTGACAACCGGAATCGGCACCAAAGCGCGAAAGTGTACAATACAACATATAATGTATTGGGTAGTGGCAAAAATACTTGGAAAGCCCCTGGAATGAAGATGTTATCATTAACATTGCATAACTTCATAATGATAGTCAATGCCCTAAGCATTGAAGATTAGCCCCAAATATCCAAAGCCCATTGAAACCCATTACTCACTGATTTTTGGAACAGGTTGAGTGTTCCAAAACTGAAACTCCCGCTGATTCTGCAGTTGCATCTTCCGCATGTATCTCTCTACTTCAGGCATCAACGGAGGGACCTGAGTTCCTACACCTACACCACTTGCCTGAGAAGTGAAAAATTACATTAAAAGGATTATGCCAAATGTAATGGTCACCTTTTTTTTTACAACATGTTAACTAGTTGAATTAGTCATTTATTATGCACCCCATATCCATCTTGTGGGTGGCAGTGGAAAGGGTTCCAGAGGCACATTATGGATTCAGGATCTGAGATGTGGATCAATCACACATGGAAAATCTAAAAGGGTATTCTGTTTCCTGTGTCAGCATCTCATAATGTATACTACTGTACATTAAAAATGTAAATTAGGCAATAACTATCTTAATTCAAGCCACCTGAGGAAGGTATTCACAATCCATATTCTAGGCATATCTCAAAACCAGCATTGAATGTAATGAAATGACAATTTCTGGGTGAGCCTCAGTGGCTCCCTGAACCTACTATACTGACATTGTGCCAGACTACCAGGCGTCATCAATTAGGGAGTTCTATTTGGCCTACCAAGGACCACAAGCCAGAACCTGGCCCCATCAGAGAGGTGCAGGAAGAAGTGGCATGTATGAAAAATTTAATGTAAATTTATTTATATTTGCCACAACCAAGGGAAGATACCCAGAAAGTCAGCGAAACAAAGCAGACCACTGCTTGGTTAGAAACAGGACCGCAGCCTTAAAACTGCGAAAAGAACTCCTTCAACAATGTAAAAACAACAAAAAATTAATGAAACAAGTATGAGCTAGTTTACCCCACCTCCCCCACGACCTGTTCGAATGATGATGAAAACTACCCGATGCCCTGGGGCAGGGAGGGTGTCAGGAAGTAACTGGGGCTCACCCAGAAATTGACTTTTCATTACATTCAATGCTGGTTTTCTGGGGTGCAGCCCCTTGTGGCTCCCTGAAGCTAACTACTGTACCTACTGAGAATGAAGAAAAAGTGTACTAACCAGGGAGTAGGAAGCATCACAGGAATAAAGATGAAGAAACCAATAGCCTCGACATGACTTAAGACCACACAAGGCCGTTGAGGACCGTGAACATTCGTAAGTTAGCTGACTGCCAAGACCCTGTTCGATCGCCAACCCCCCCCCCCCCCACGTCTAAATATCAACCCGAGACGTAATAGCAAAGACTGCTGAAAGAATGCCATATGACAACAAACAGCCCATTTGTTTACATCCCTAAATATGCTAAACATACACTCTGCATCCATTCTCTTGGGCTATTTATATTTACACTTACAAAAGTTTATTCAATAAAGAACAGACACCATTGCCCTGGGCCGGCCTGGTGAGCACTGTTCACAATGCTCCAGCCAAGAGACGACGCGTCTGAACACATCGAGCGAGGGCTCGGGTAAGTGCCAAGGCACTGAACTCAAAGACCCTGAAGAGGAATCCAGCGACGCAACAACCGATGCAAAGCCCCCATAGGATGAACCGAGCAACGCCTCAGAAGTGGAAGGGGCATCCCCGAAGGATGCCAGAACACACACCGAAGCCAAACCAAACCCAGTAGGTAGACCAGCACAGCGAAGTTCAATCTCCCACACAACTGCTCGAGCAACCGGCGGGTGCCCAAGACCCGGGCGGACCCTCCCAGAAACAGCCAAAGGCGGGACCACAGCCTCAGCAATGCCTCCAGAAGGAGAGACATAAAAGCAGTTCGAGAGCCCCAAACATGACCCAGCCAGGTCAGAACCTAGCTGGGTCATGGAACCAGATGGGACTTCCTCCAGTGTAGTCCCATCTTCCTCCAGATGGGATTTTCTTCCTTCCTCCAGCTGGGAACGAACCACACCCCCCTGGCGAGCAGACAAGCGGACCGACTGGGAGCCCATACTAACCAATCTTTGAGGTAGGCCAGAACCAGAACCCCTAGCAGAGGCAGACAGGTCACCACACCCGGGTAAGACACATGAATATGTGAGGTGCCAGATCCAAGCCAAAAGGAAGGCAACGAAAGTGGTCAACCAGACGCCCCCACAATGAAACTTAAACAGGCCCTGAACCCCAGATGAACAGGAACATGCCAATAGACATCCTGCAGGTCCAGGGACACCATCCTGGCACCGGCTCCAAAAAAAGCCGGACCTGAGACAGAGTGGTCATATAAAAGGAGGTACAAGGAATCCAGCGGGTTCAGATGGGACATTATCATCTTCTTATCTTGAGATGATTTCCGGGCTTTTTAGTGTCCCAGCGGCCCGGTCCTCGACCAGGGCTCCATCCCCAGGAAGCAGCCCATGACAGCTGACTGAACACCCAGGTACAGTACCTATTTTACTGCTAGGTAACAGGGGCATAGAGTGAAAGACACTCTGCCCATTGTTTCTCACCGGCGCCTGGGATCGAACCCAGAACCACAGGATCACAAGTCCAGCGTGCTGTCCGCTCGGCCGACCGGCTCGGCCGACCGACCGGGTGGTTCTAGATAGAAAACTATCGCCTGAGGCCATCATAAAGAATGTTGTGCGAGGAGCTTATGCCACACTTTCTAACTTCAGAATTGCTTTTAAATACATGGATGGCAATATACTAAAGAAATTGTTCATGACTTTTGTTAGGCCAAAGCTAGAATATGCAGCGGTTGTGTGGTGCCCATATCTTAAGAAGCACATCAACAAAGAAAAGGTGCAAAGACATGCTACTAAGTGACTCCCAGAACTGAAGGGCAAGAGCTACGAGGAGAGGTTAGAGGCATTAACCCTCAAACCGCTAGGGGCCCAAATGGAATTCACACCCACAGGCACAACAACAAAAAAAAAAATCCAAAAAATTCTTTTGTCTTATAGAAATGTTCATTTTTGTTCCCTGATCACGGAAAAAATAACAAAAAAATCGTAGGTGGCATATTTTAGCCGAAATAGGGTAGGGAAGTGTGGCAAAAAAGGGGCGTTGGCAGAGCCTTCGCCAGACGAGGTCTGCTCCGCCCGAGCTGTCAGACGGCAGTTGCCACAAATATAATATTACCTAATTATTTCAATGTCTCTGATTAATTTTTTCTTAATTTTTTGCAGTAATATTATTCCATACAGTGAATTGTGGTATATTTATATTATAAAATGTGTGAACCATCGCTGTACTCAAAATTATGGTGTGCATATTAGTGATTCAATTATTATATTCATAAAACAATAAACAAATAGTTTTGCTGTTGTTACACTATATACACAGGTTATATATAAGTATTTGCATGTTTTGTACACCATAACGAACTACTAAGTTGGTCTTGTGAGTCAAAAAGCAACGAGGAGTGATCGCCAAACACCAGCGAGCCACTCACTGCCACTCCCTCCCTCAACACCACCTCACTCACCCTCATTCACCTCCCACAATACTCTTTCTGTATTTATTCACTATACACAGACGTTGTATATACGTATTTACATGTTTTGTTCACCATAACTGTACATCTAAGCTTGTATGGTGAGTGAAGGCCATAAGACGTAGCTACTCACACAGTCAGCTGATCGGCGGCCGCCCTCAAGGCCAGACGCACTAATATTTGTCCTCCAACAATATTGTTTGTGGTGTTATTACGCTTTATACACACATTATATATAAGTATCTACCTGTTTTATTCACCATACCTGAACAAATGAGCTGATATGGTGCCCAAAGACCATAGTGGCCACCAGTAAACACCATGCCAAGTCGTGCAGACGACGCTCCTCCCTCACCAAAATGGCAGTTCCCAACCTACTCCTCTCGCTGTTATCACACACTATACACACGTTATATATAAGTATCTACATTTGTGTTCACCATAGCGAACCACTAAGCTGGTATGGTGAGTGCAGTCAATAAATGGTGGCCACACACAGTCAGAAGATGACGCCACAACCCTCCCTCCACAGCCTTACTCCTCCCTCCATGGAGCACAGCGCTAAATATCACCACAATCCTGCTATTATCAGTATCCTGGTCAGTTTTATCACAGTCAGGGGGCTTCAGTAATACTATCACTGCTAAATAACAGCAGTAATATTTATATTATGGTATTTGTAGGCGATGCTGTGGTCACAAGCTGAACAGCGGTGCTGTGAGCTCGTGCTGCGTGCGCCAGCCTTGGTGGCTTGCTCAATACTGACGCTGTAACATCCAAGAATGTTGGCCTGGATTTTTTTTCTAGGTGGCATCTGGCAACTATTGGTCGTGGCTGTACTATAGCTGCCCCTATCCCAGGCGGGGCGTTTAAATTATAGCGCTAGACACGAAATCATATATAAATGATGTGCGCGGTTTCGGTTTTGTCACCGATATCATTTATATATGATATGCGCGGTTTGAGGGTTAAATATGCCAAAACTGGAAGACAGAAGAAAAGGAGGTGATACGATCACTACATACAAAATAGTAACAGGAATTGATAAAATCGATAGGGAAGATTTCCCGAGACCTGGAACTTTAAGAACAAGAGGTCATAGATTTTAGCTAGCTAAACACAGATGCCGAAGAAATAAGAAAATTCACTTTCGCAAACAGAGTGGTAGACGGTTGAAACAAGTTAAGTGAGAAGGTGGTGGAGGCCAAGACCATCAGTAGTTTCAAAGCGTTATATGACAAAGAGTGCTGGGAAGACGGGACACCATGAGCGTAGCTCTCATCCTGTAACTACACTTAGGTAATTACACATACACACACATGTAAGTAGGGAGTAACTATCACAGAATAGCACAATACATACACGTACGTATTAGGGTCTCGCGCACAACAATTTTAAATGCCCTGTGAGGGACAGAGGCAGCTATAGCCTAGCCACAGCCGACAGTAAAAAAATGCCATTTTGGAAAAATTCCATTATACCCGAGACACCATGGAGAGTGCACCAAGTACCAGCGGCCAACCGCATTCAGCACAGCGTGCAACTCAATCGTTGACTGAAGATGAAATTAATCAGGAATTGTTCTAGGAGGGTGATAACCCTGATATTGATGACTGACATAGTCAGAGTCTACACACAGCCAGAAGATTTGGAGACGACCATGAACATGTGGGTGTCACAAAGGGTAGGCCTAGCTACTCACCCATGCCTCTTCACC